GAAAAAACATTCAGGGGGTCCAATGCCGACCTGCCCCACCTCCTTCACCCGCCCTCCCCTGTTCCACCTGGCCGGTCGGCACTCATAGAAAGTGGGCGAGCGGTGCCGACGCACACCCTGGACAATACCTCCACGCTGGGTTCTTGTGGAACCTCCCCCCCCCTCCTCCCCTAAGCCCACGCCCGGGCCTGTTGTCCACTCTGGGCTATGTGCCCACGTGCGGTATGTCCGTGTGTTTGTGTGCACCTGGAGATGCGACCTGAATAATGGGCATCGTACGAGCGAGCGGGGCTCGCCCAGGAATTCGCTGACATCCCCCGGCCTCGGTTTACGTGCCCCCGCCCCCTGGTGGCCTGACCCAATTGCGGACCTCGAGTTACCCTCCCCGACGGCCCCAAAGGTAGGGCCGAGACTCGGACCGACAAATAGAGTAAACAGAAGGGGCGCCAGTGTGAATGCATCTGGCGTGTGCTTGGCTACTCCTCTCAGCCTTAGTGCTGATCCCCCTGCCCCCTCCTCCTCGCCTCCCTCGCTTCCCTCGCTTCCCTCGCCTCCTTTTGCTCCAGGATTTGTGCCACCCGTCCGACTGCGCATGGAATAGGCGCGGGGCTAGAATGGCCATCTCGCGCGCCTCCCGGTGCCCATGGCCCGGTCCCCTTCTTCGGCACTGTCCGCTGCGGATGCTGCCGCTGCTGGTGGGGGTCCTGCTGTCGGTGTTGCTTTCTGCGCGTGGGGAGGGGACCTTCCTCCAAAGGGCCAAGCATCCCGTTTTGTCGACTGAATGGCCTGCATTCTCTTCGACCCATCCCCAGGCAGCCTCTATGATGTGGATTCTCCAGGACGATATGGTCTTCCTGGGCTATCAGCAGGCCGACATGCTGAGCGACATCCCGGAAGTCCGGTGGGGGACCTTTTTCAGGTTGCCCAGTCAAAAGTTTTCCGTCGGTGCCCCGGGCCAGATACAAAGCCCGAGTTACATGCTTCTGCCGGTGGAGGGGGATCCGCTTCCGGAGTTAGTCTGGCACAATTCATCCATCGTGTCGTTGTTTACCTCGTCTCACCAGTTTTCCCTGCCGGCTCCGGGCATCGAGCTTCTTGCTGGATTTGCTCTTGAAGCCGGCAGAGTGGTTCTTCTGGGCCAGACAAAGGCCATTGACACGTTCCGTCGGCTCTACACAGTCATTTTGGGACCGACCGGCCATACTGCCGACGAATTCCTGCCCGAAATGATGTGGACCGACCACCTTGTCACCGTCGGCTGGATGTGGTCCTTCTACGTGGCCCACCAAAGGGATATACTGCATCTGTTCTATGATGGTGGGCTGCGACTTGAAGTGCATCGTCTCGAGCTGCCTGCCGATGCTCTGGACCTGGTGGCCACGCGACTTGTTTCTCCGGCGGAAAGCTGTCCAGGCTGGTCGGATCTGGTTGTCCTGACGGCCGAGGGCACCCTCGAGGTCTTCCTCTGCCTCGGTCCGGAATCCCCCCGGAGCATCGTGTCAGAACGGCTGCCAAGCGGCACACATTTGGCCGGGGCCCGGTTGCTGGCCCCACGGGCAGATGCTCTGGCCCTTGATCCAGGGCCCCTGTACCTGATCGCGCCGCACTCGCTGCAGCAGGCTGACCGTCTGTGGAAGCTCCTCATCAAAGACCAAATACTCAGTTGGCAGCGGCTCATTTTGCCGGATGCCGGCTTGCGCGATATGGGGTCGGGGTTTCCGGAGTTGCTGCGGTTGCGTGTGGTGGCTGATCATCCCCCTATTTGGACCTTGGTCCTGAATCGGCATGTGCTATTTGAGGCCGAGCATTTCGCTTGCGCCAGCGACGATACCATCGATTGTGGCTCTTCCGCGTCAGGCTCCTCGGCTGACGGCTGGTCATGCGTCGGTAGCCGTGCTGGGTCCCCCTTTGTCGCCAGTGAGCAGCTGTGTCCCGGGTGTGCGAATGGGTACTTCCTGGATCGTCAGAGTGGTGCGCCTGCCTGTGCTGGCTGTCTCTTGCCATCATCTCCCGGCCCTTGCTCCTGCTTGGCTCGCTTGGTCATCATGATGACTCGGCCATTGTCCCGTTGACTGACAATATCAATGGCTCCGGCCCTCTTGCCTGGCCTGGTGCCCTTTGCCCTTGACATTTTGCCCCCCCCCCCCCCCCCCCCTCCCGCCCCCCTCAGGTGGTGGGACCTCCCCTTCTGGGAGCCAAGCGTGCATCCCGTGCCACCAGGCCAACTGTGACACCTGTTTCAAGAGCAACTGCCTGGTGTGCGCCCCTGGCTTCCTGCTGGAAGCCCGACCCGACGATGGCACGACGGTCTGTGTGGCCACCTGCTCGGCGGGCCTCGTCGGGATGGAGGGAAGCTGTCGGCCGGTGGATTCCCTGCAGCTCGCTGGCAGGGTGGGTGCATGGGAGATGGATCTGGCTCCCGGGGAAGTGATCACTGCCCTCGCGAGCACCCGGCTCCTGGTCGACGACTCGTCAGGTCAGTTGATTTTGCCGGCAGCCGGATCGGCTTCCGGCCTGCTGGCTTTTAGCACGTCGGCCAAGGCCCTCTTTTGGATGGCCAATCAGCCGGGTTTCTCGATCGCCGCTCCGGCCCGGCGTGTGCTGTCTTTTACGCCGCCACTCATGCATGAGATTGTCCACTTGGCCGAGGTGGGCCCCTTCTCGATGGGCAGCCAGCGATCGCACCTGCTGGTCATGTGCGACAAGAACCAGGAAGTCTTCCTCGGTTGGCTGGTCTGCTCCATGGCCGAGAGCTGCACGCCGGGGCCGGTTGCCTCGCTGCTGTCGCCGGGGCTGGCGGATTGCGTGGGGGTTCGGCAAATCAGCGTCGATGTCATTCTGATCGACCGGGCCGATGGGCAGCTGACATTCCTCCAGGCGCAACCGGCCACCCGGACCCATGTCCTGTGGGCCACATCCGGAGCGGGTGCTGTGGTCCTGTCTGCTCGGGGCACCAGCCGCGCGGATCGGGCCCCGGAAGACTGGCTGGTGTGGGGCAGCCTGCATGGGAAGGTCACTGCCAGCCCGATTGCCCTTGCCTTGGAGGGCAGTGCGTCCGACTCGCGGCTGGCGGTGCGGGATGAGGGTTTCCTGGCCGGCAGCTCATCGAATGATGCCGGGCTCATGCCGGTGTTGCTCCCACGACCGGGCAGCATCCCGGAATTGGTCTTCTCCCAGGTGTTTGGCGTGGATTGGATAGTCCGGCACACGCCGGGAGACCTGTTGCCGGCTGGGCGATCCACACAACTGCCCTTTTTCCAGGAACATCTCGGGACCCTGCCAGAGGAAATCAGCCCAGCGGCCGCCATCGGGCCGAGCATTCTCCTCCAGGGCCTGGCCCTCGAGGGAGGGGATCCCCACTTTCCGAGCATCCTACTCATGCTGACCCGTACTTTCATCGGGGCATCTGTGCTGCATTGCCCTGGCGGCGTATTCGGCCCGTGTGCTCTGCAGCCGGCATCCTTCATTGTGCTGCCTGTCTCGCGGCAGATCCCGGAAAGTAGTCCCTTTTGGTCGCCGGCCATTGAGCAACTGCCCGCCGCTCGGTCGGCTGGGGGTTCCATGCATTCGGCCAGCACGTCCCAGTTGCCGGAGGTGTTGCTCTTTGCGCCGGACACCGGGGCCATGGTCCTGTCGCTGAGTGCAAGCTGTCCGGCCGGGCAATTTGGCATCCCTTGCCAGAATTGAGATCAGAGTTGCGCCACTTGCAGCGGGCCCGGGCCCGAAGCGTGTACTTTTTGTCATGAGGACAAGTGGCTTTTAAATGGCAGGTGCCTTGACGATTGTACCGATGGCACGTGGCCTTACCACGGAAATGGCGTGTGCCTGTCCTGCCAGTCGTTCTGTACTACATGCACCACGGCGTCCACCTGCACAGGCTGCGTGGCCCGGCATTTCCTGGCCCCTGGCGGGCATTGCACGGCATGCCATGGGTCATGCGCCGAGTGTGAGGACGCTTCCAGCTGCCTGTCCTGCCAGCCGGGGCTGGTATTCCTCGGGGCCGATGTGCAGGTGCCGTCCCTGTGCGGGGGGGCCTGCCTGCCGGGCCAGTA